TCCACACTCATGAGAAGCCATGCCTAAGAGGGGGCCAGACCTGGGGGTCCGAGCCAAACCCCAGGTGCTCCCTGGGACCCCTGGAGGGATGAGTGGGCGTCTTCCCAGCTGGGAGAAGACCTGGCTCTGGAAGGGGCGCCCCTTTGTGCTTCAAGAGGCAGGAGGGGGCAGTGAGACCCCAGGCTCTCCGGCTCTGTCTTCCTCCCCCCGTTGCTGCTCTAGGGTGGGTTCAGGGTTCAGGGATCAGGGCCAAGCTGCAGGCAGACGTGGAAGGTGTCTTGATGGCTTCGGTGGGGGCCCCAAGCCCAGCTGGCAGGCCTGGTGACTCAACAATCCGGGATGGGAGCACGGTGCCCCCACCCCCTCTGCTGCTCTCCCTCACAGAAACTGACGAATCGCCTGGTACAGGAAGACGGGAGCACCACCTGCATCACCCAAGGTGGCTCCACCACCTGCCCGGGGCGGCAGCACGGGCCAACTACGTGGGGTCTTCCTCCACGAAGTCCGAGGCCCCCTCACCACTTGCCACAGGCCTGCGTTCTGTTCACAGGCTCTCATCGTGATGTCTGGGGATGGGGGTGGTTGGGCCCCAGGTAGGGGTGAGGCCCAGACTCAGCCTCTGTGAGTGCAGTGGGAGGGCGGGCTCGTTACATTCCACAGAAAGAACAGGCGGCCTTACTGGACTTGGCATCCCGGGAGGCTGGGCTCCAGGTGGCCTCACTGCCAGGGATGCGCCTCCCCCTGCCCTCTGGAGGGGTCCTCCATTGATACCCACTGCCTCTTTTGTGCGAAGGTCCGGGCTTACTGGTGCCGGGGCCTCCGAAGCCCCAGGGTCTGTGAGGGGCCAGTTAAAGCGTTCCTGTGGCCCTGACAACCAGACTCCTTGGTCCAGGCCAACAAAGGCCTTACACCCTGAAGCTGCCTCAAACCTCGGCACCCAAAGTGCCCCGTTATTTCCATGTTGCAAACGGGCTGGGAGAAGCGCCTCGCGGGGTCCAGCGGGTGGACAGCCCTGGCCTCCCCGAAGGTGGAGACGTCCGGGTTCTCAGCCGCGAGAGGGGCGGGGCAGGGGCGCAGCGCTGGAGTCGGTGGCTTTGTAGGGCCCCGCAGGGCGCGGAGCCACCAGGGGAAACGGAAGTTCAGGGAGGGCGAGGCCGTGCCCCAAATCCAGGCAGCGCAGGCCGCGGGCCGCTCCCCGAGCCAGGAGGGGCCGCCGTCCGCACCGGGACCGACGAGGAAGCGGAGGTCTGAAGGGGGACAGGTCGGATGTGGCCTCAGAGAGGGAGGATGCGGGCCCCGGAGCTGAGCCAGGCGGCCGGAACCCCACGGGGCCCGCGCGCCCCTCCCCGCCCAAGGGGCCCCGGCGTTGGGGGACAAGGGGTCGCTGCCTGGAGGACGCTGGGACCTGCCGCGCTGCGCTCCCCGCGAGCCGGGGAAACGGAGGGACGGGGGGTTGGGGGTTGGCGGGGAGCAGCGAGCCTGGACTCCGGGGGAGGCGAGGCAGGGTGGCCCCAGTCCCGGGGCGCGGAGGGGGCGGGCGAGCTCCGGCCCGGGGGCGCCACGGGGACGGTTCCGGTTGGGGGGTCCCTGGGCCCGGCGGGGTTGCGGGACGCGCCGTCGGGGAGCGGCGGCCCGGGAGCCCGTCCGGAGGCGGCGCGGGGTCCGGGCGGGGCGCGCAGGGGCGGCGCCAGGCGGTGACGTGCGCGGGGGACGTGCCGCGCCAGCGACCCGAGCACTTAAAGTCGCCCCCGGCGCGGCGCCGGGCGGCAGAGGCGGGCAGAGGCGGCGAGAGGCGGGCGGAGGCGGCCCAGCGGCGGCAGGTAGGCGCGGCCGCGACGCTCGTGCGCGGGCCGGGGCCCAAGAGCTTCCCCGTGCCCGGCAAGGGGGCGGCCTCTGGGTCCGCACTCTCGCCCCCACCCCGCCCACTTTGTCCATCAGGTCCGGGGGCGCCCGGGGCATGGACCAGCCTTCTCGCCCCCCGCGCGGCCCCCACCGAGGGCTCCCGAGAGCCAGCCGCGCCCCTCCGCGCCCTCGCATCCCTGGCTGCCCAGTCTCGTGGCCCCCGGTCCGGCCGGGCGTCCACCCGTCGGGCTGCCCTCAGGGGCTGGGCTCCGGCCAGGAGGTGGCTGCGCTGGCGGCCAGGCCCGGTCCGGGTATAAATAGCTCGGTCCGCGGCGGCGGGGGGCGCGGGCTATATTTGGTGGGGCTGCTGCAGCCCTCCCTGTATGGGCGGCCTCCCCGAGGGGAGTGGGGAGCACGTGCGCTCTGGCCGAGGCGCTTTCCCCTGTTCACAGCACCCTAAACACTCCCCCACACCCGCCCTTGGGCAATGACTAACAGCCCGTGCAGGGAAATGGAGGATCCCCTCCAGGGCCAGGCTGGGCTCCCTGGGTTCGCCCTACCTCTACCCCGGCCCCCAGGCGTGGGAAAACCAGGCACAGACTTTGGTAGCCTCCCACTTCCTAACCCACGCCTGTTTCCCCATCCGAAAAGTGGGTTGATCAGGAGCCTCCCTGGGTGTTGGGCCAGCCAAGACACAGGGGCTGCAGAGTGGAAGGGAAGTCTTTAGCTCTGGCCGGGGCCACCAGGGGTGGCTGGAGTCGGTGAGGGACGAGGTGGGGAGCCGAGGGGCCGCTGTCCTCCTCTCTGTCTCACAGGCACCGAGCTTCGTGGCCAGGAGGCCTGGGCTGAAAGGGTCCCTCTCCTGGTGATGGCCAGAGTCAGGCCTGTTGGGCAGGAAATGGCAGCTGGCCCACCCCAAGGCCCAAGGGCTTGTCCGTGCTGAGCACAAGGGTGGGTGGTCTTGTGTCTATTGGGGCTGGGGAGTCCAGGGTCCCAGCTTCACTTCACAGGCCTGGGAGTCAGGTGGGGGCTGGCCTGACCGTGCTGGCAGAGGAACTGTTCTCCAGCATGGTGTGGAGGAGGCTGGGCTGGACTCCCTCATGGCGAGCAGGAACTGAGGAGGTGCTAGGAGGCCATGGGGGGTGTCTGCCCCCAGAGAGGCTTTGAGTGCACAGGGGCACTGCCTTGGCAGGTGCAGTCTTTCCCCCAGGGCTCTGTGGTGTGGACAGAGTCTGGGGTGGGCATCTGGAGGCCTGATCTCAAGGCAGACTTGGTAACGACTCCATGTGACCTTGGGCAGGGCCCACCATCCAGGCCACCCAGAAAGCCATGTGGCCTGCCCATGGTCAGGCCAGCCCCCACTGATTGAAGCAGGGCACTTTACTTTGGAGGTGCAGCTACCAGAGGGCTCTATGGATCCCGGCCCAGCCATCAGGCCGGACGGTTCCCCCCCCCCACTGGCGTGCACTGACCCTTATGCCAGGCTTGGCTGGCTCAGCAGTGGGTCCTGGGGTGACCTGGCCACGTGGGACAGAAGGGCCAGTGCCGCCCCCTCCAGTGAGGAGCCAAATGTGGGCTATACTCTGGGCCCCAGCGGGGGCCTTCTGGGCGGTGGCGAAAAGCCATTGGAGGTGCCCAGGCCCTGGCGCAGGGGCGGGGCGGGAGCAGATAGGGCTCGTGGAGTCCTCCCAGCGTCACCTGCCCGAGTCAGTCCCATCTGTGAAATGGGCCACGCCGGGCAGCCGCACGCACAGAACCGCGGGGGTCCCTGCCCCGAGACCCGCGGTTCACGAGTCGACGTCCCCGAGCCGCGCCCACTCGACCCACCTCTGCAGCAAGTGGAGCCGGCCCCGCCCTGTGGCTTCGAGGCCCCGACGCCTGGCGCGGCTCCCGGGCTCCACTGCCCCCGGTGGACCCGCGCGCCGGCAATTACGGTAGCGTCCGGTAGGGCTCCTACTGCGTAGGGCTCCTACTGCGGGCAATACGGGGGCTCCTCCCATGGCGCGGTCACGTCCCCCACGTCCCGCGGCCGGCGGGGCGGGACCGGGCGGAGCATCCTTCCCTCCCCCTCCCCCAGGTGGGCCCCGCCCACCCTCGCCCACCCGCGCCGACCCCCGCCGGCAGAGCCGCGAAGCCGGAACCCGCAGGCGCCCTCCCTCCAGCCCGGGCGGGGGTGCGCCGAGGAGGGACCGCTCCTGGCGAGGGTGGAGTTTTGGGTTCCCCCCTCCGCCCCCCACCTCCCGCCTTCCTGCCTCCTCCCGGTCACTACCTCCCCCCGGGTCCCCACGACGCCCGCTGGGCGGCGGTGGGGTGGGGGCGCCTCCTGACCCGAGTCCCCCTCTAGTCTTGGCCTTCGGGCACTGGCTTTAGGGTGGAGGGGTGCATGGGAATCCAGGAATGGGGCGAGGTGGCCTCGTGGAGGGGCGGCCTGGCGGGGTCCGGGAGGCCTGGGAGGTGGGGGAAGGCGGCTCTGGACCAGCTCCGGCCCCCACCGCCTCCCGGCCCCAGAGCGGTGACCTCGGCCTTGCGGAAAAGGGGTCTTCAAGCTCTGAGACCCCGGAGTGTCAGCTCAGGGCTGAAGCCGGCGGCGGCGGCACATGCAGCCTCCCTTTCCCACGTGGGACTTGAGCCCAGTCCCTCTTGGGGCACCAGTGGGGGCGCCTGGCCCTGGTGTAAGTGGCCAGTCCGGCCTGTGCGTCTGCCCCGCCGGCCCCTGCCGTCATGATGTAAGCGGACACAGCGGCAGGGCACGGGCGTGCGCGGGGGTCTGCGGGGGTCAGAAGTGGGGTGCAGGGCCCAGGCCTGGGGCAGCCCCTTGCGCAGCGTCCACCCCCTGCCAGCTCGGCCCGGACACCTTTGCAGGCGGCCGGGGCGGGGCTGCCGGGGGTTACTCACTGCTCCTTCCTTGTTTGCACAACAGGGACGGCGGGGGAAGAAGGGAACTCAGCGAGGCCCCTCCCCGGGTGCGGCGCCCTCCCGCCCTCAGCACCCCTTAGCAGCCAGGCGCTAGCCACAGAGGGGCCGCTTCCTTGGTCCTCAGGCAGCTCCCTTGGATCCAGGAAGGAAAGGAATTGCCCTTTTCCTGCTCCGCCTCCTGCCTGGGCCACAAAGGCAGTGCCAAGGCCCATCCTTCAAGGGCTGGAGTCAGTTAGGTAACAGACCTCGGGCCCGGGGCTCAGGCCACTGCACGGACCCAGGGAACGGGCTGACAGTCCAGTGGAGGCCTCAGCGAGGCGGCGGCACTGCGCATAAACCTGAGGACCTAGGCGGGTGAGGGGTCTGCAGGTCCAGACGCCTGAGGGGAAGCATGCCAGGCTGCCCAGTGCCCCCCAAGGAGGTCAGCGAGGTTACTGGAGAGAGGCCCAGGAGGAGCAGGCTTGGGCAGCAGGGGTCGGGTTCCGGATCCTCTGTGCGTGAGTCCACATTGGCTCTGCAGGTCGGCATTTTGAGCCACCTGGCATGGCGTTCCAAGCCTGTGACGGGGCAGTGCAGGGGTCTGACTGGCAGGCACCCAGGTCCTGATGGCTTCATGGTTGAGTCCTGGCCTAAAGCCAGGGGTCCTTACAGACCCCTGTGCCCTGCACCCTTGAGGGAACTGCTGCCAGCAGCCCCTGGCTTGGGAGGGCACACGGCTGTGGGATGCAGGGTCTCCTGCAAGGGCTCCACCCACCCCTGCCCCAGGCCTCCTGCTCAGCTTCCAGCAGCCTGGGGTCGTGGAGTCTTTGGGGGACCCGCTCTCCGGCAGCCCCCACCTGGGAGATCAGCTTTCTCATCCCAGAGGCCAGGTTATTTCTGGGCGGGTTGGCACGCTTCCTGGGGGGCGGGGGGGGCAGTAAATGTCAGGGGAAGGCCAGCCTATGGCGTTTGCCCACGGAGAGGCCAATGCTTGGTGACTGTGGTGTGTGCTCCAGGCAGGACAGCCCCAGGGTGGTCCTCAGAACACCAGGCGACCTGTACCTTGGCCAATCGCAGTGCTGGGGTTACCCTGGGAGATGGGTTGTCTGCGCCGTTATTTCGTGCCCCTTCCCCGTACTCCGCCTCCTGTGGGATCCCCTGCCTCAAGCCATGTGGGCAGACAGCTGGCTCCAAGTCAGCCCCTGGACACCAGGCTGGAGTGGGAACTCCTGGAGCCATTTCAGCATGGCTGGCACCCCAGGCTGGGTGAGGACAGATGATGGTGCCAGGCTGTGGTCTGGGGGCTTGTCCAAATGCCTCATCTTGACACAGAAAATGGCCCTCCCCACGTGAGCTTCACGTGGAAGCCACAAGCACCTCAGGTCTCAGAACACGCTGTGCCCTCCTGGCCAGTGAGTCCTGGCACTGCCCCAACCCTCTGCCAGCCCTCCTTGACTCTAGTTCAGGGGCGCCGCGTCTCCTGAGGGTGGCCCCCGTCCCCTGCCTCCCCGAGAGCCCTGGTCTGTCTCCTGAGGACCCTGGCAAGCTTCAGATGCTGGGTTTGCCTGCGTCCCCCGCCCCCACTGGTGCAGCCAAGGAGACTCAGAGGCCCTGGTGCCTCTTTGTGTTTTGGAGGGGGAGCCTGGGGTACGCGAAATCCGGCTGTTCTGTCTCTTGTATATTTCCTTCCTTGGCCTTGCATGGCCTGTTTATTTTAAAAAGTGCCAACCTGCAACCCCAAACAAGCTGGGGCCCTGAGGCCGTCAACCCCTCCAGTCTCCCCCATGACCCGCAGTCTGCATCCTTTCCCAGTTTCATTCCTCAAGTGCATGTATTTTTAATATCTTGTAGTTACCCTGCTGTATACTGTCATCTTAGGAAACTTTTAAACTTAATACCAGTATGAGCAGGACCTACCCTGCTGCTTAGTGACCCCAGATAGCATGTCCTGAAGTGGTGTGTCCTGGGGAGGTGCGACAGTGCTCCTCTGTCCTGTCCCAGGCACTGTGGTGGGGGCATCCGGTGTCCAGATGCAGAAGCAAAAGCTGCTCCCGGGTTTCCCAGAAATGGTCCCGAGGCCTTGGCCCCAGGGAAGCCAGTACAGGTTGGGAAGTGGACCTCTGGCCCTGTGGCGGAGGTCTGTTCTGCTCCAGTGGACCGCATCTGCCTCGTCATCATCCAGCCAGCCACAGCTGGCTCCTGGGTCCCCTCGTCAAGCGGCATTTCCCAGTAACAGTGACTTCGTGGAACACTTACGAAGCCCTTACAAACCATCCTCGGACCTCTAAGGCAGGGACTCCAGGAGGCACAGCACCTGTGGTGGGGATGGTCAGGCAGGCTGGATGTGGGGAGGGTTCGGAAGGAGTGAGGAGCCACGCGCGGAACCCCTCAGACTCTCCCAGCAAAGGTCCTTGCCCTTGTGCGGGTCCTGCCTCTAGTTACGTGTTTGCCTTAGAGGCAAAGTTGGGCCGTCACGGAGGACCCACCAGGATGGGGTCTGCGGACACACTTGCAGGAGGAACCCAAGGAAAGGGGGCGGGGGTGGAGTCCCACAGATTGCGTGGAGCTTGCACAGCAGGCCTGCTGCTGCCTCCCAGGGCGCTGGTTCACAGCAGTCTGGAGAAGCTGAGCCGGCTGGACCAGACCACCCAAGGTCTCAGGTTGCAGCTCCCTGGTAAGGAGAGGACAAGGTGACTTCTGGGTGGGGTGGGGCATGAAGATGGAAGTCTGGCCTCGGGTTCCAACTTGACTCAAACGAGCTGAGCTCCTGGAGTTTACAAAAGGGACACCAGCTTCAGACATCGTGGGGGCTGGCGTGGTTTGCTCTGGTGGGCTGGATGGGAGCCTCCCCAACCCCTCCCCTCCCCAGGAGGCTCCAGACCCTCCTGATTTTAGGCTGCAGCCTGTGGGTCACTCCAGGCACAGGTGGGGTGAGTCTCTTCTCACTGGAGGAGTTGTTGAGCAAAAGGGCTGGTGGGAGGCAAGGGGGCATCCAGGGATAAGGGGCCAGCTGTGCCCCCCCTTCCCCACCCCACCCACTCTAATACTGCAGCCCCTATGCTTCCAACTGCCTGCTCCAGCCTGATGCCCAGCCCCTCACCGCCAGCGACTGCCCGCCGCCTCTTGTGCAAGCTCCTGGCGGGCTCCACTGAAGCCAAAGTGGGCCCTTGGGGGCAAGAGAGCCAGAGCAAGGCACGCTCCATCTAGATTTAGACAGGGAGAGACCTGGCGGACGCCACCCCCGAGGCCCCGGGGCGAGCTCAGTGCTGGGGACCGGAGGTGCAGGCTGTTGCCAGAATCATGGTGTGTGGCCCTGCCCAGCACGGGTCAGCCAGAGCGAGCCAGGACAGAAATGACGGCCAGGCCCATGTTCCTGCCGGGGGCTGCTCCTCCCAGGAGGTAATCTGAGTCCTGGCCGAGCCCAAAAAAGCCACTGCCCTTTAGAGCCAGCTGTGTAAGTGCAGGAGGCAGTGCAGAGGGAGTGGGACCCCCAGCTGCTAGCCTCCCTCCACATCCTCCTGCCTCCAGCAAGCACCAGGTCAGGGGGCCACAAGTGCGGGCGCTGGGCAGCTGCCCCTCAGCCAAGCTGCGGGGCCATCCAGCCCAGGCGTGTGTGCCACCCAGCTCGTGTTGCTCCCCGACGGGCTGCAGCTGGGATGGTCACCCGGGCAGCCTGAGTCAGCCTGCGTTCTCTCTCAGGTGAGGCGGAACCGACCCTCTCGGCCATGGGAGGGGCCGTGGTGGACGAGGGCCCCACAGGCGTCAAGGCCCCCGACGGCGGCTGGGGCTGGGCCGTGCTCTTCGGCTGCTTCGTCATCACCGGCTTCTCCTACGCCTTCCCCAAGGCCGTCAGCGTCTTCTTCAAGGAGCTCATGCGGGAGTTTGGGATCGGCTACAGCGACACAGCCTGGATCTCCTCCATCCTGCTGGCCATGCTCTACGGGACAGGTGAGGGCGGCCTCACACCGGGCCCCCGTCCGGGGCTCTGCTGGCAGATCCTGCCAGGCGCAGGAGCCCGCGTGTGGCCAGGCTCGGCAACAGGGCCTTCTGCCCGCTCCCCAGGAACCCTGGAGGGAAGCCCTTGGGGCCGGGATCCTGCTGGGCAGCAACATGTTCTCCACAGGGCCAACCCAGGCAGGGTGCGAAGTCCATCCTGGCCCCTGTCCAAACGGGTCGGCTGTATTTATAGACAGTCCCAGAGGACAGGGCTGCCCAGAGCGGTTCCTGAAAAGATGGTTGTTCCTGCGCTGCAGGGACCACGGAGCCCAGCAGGTGGCACTCGCCTGTCACTCTGCCCTGCGCTCTGGGACTGGCCCCCAGCGTGCCCCAGTGCCCCGCGGAGGGAGGGGTGGCGTGGGAAGGGGAGGCCGGCTGCAGACTGGGAGCTCAGTGGGCTGGCGGGGGCAGAGCTGGCTGCAAGCCCAGCCCCTCTCAGCTGCCGCCCTCCTCAGGCCCACTCTGCAGTGTGTGCGTGAACCGCTTTGGCTGCCGGCCCGTCATGCTTGTGGGGGGCCTCTTTGCGTCCCTGGGCATGGTGGCTGCGTCCTTTTGCCGGAGCATCATCCAGGTCTACCTCACCACTGGGGTCATCACTGGTGAGTGGGGCCGGCCGGTGGGCCACAGGTGCTGGGAGGGGGGCGGGCCGTGCACTTCTGCTCCTGGGTCCAGGCCGCCTCTGGAGGACAGCAGGGCGGGTGGCTGCGGGATGTCCCGGCCCCACCTCGTTGTCCCCCTCTCGCGTGTGTGGGTGGCAGGGGCTCTGCACACTGGGAGCCCGAGCCCGTGGGAACCTGGGGGTAGAGACGCGGGTCTTGGGCTTTGGGGGCAGCCTTGTGGGGGCTCTCACCACATTCCCTTTCCTCCAGGGTTGGGTTTGGCGCTCAACTTCCAGCCCTCGCTCATCATGCTGAACCGCTACTTCAGCAAGCGGCGCCCCATGGCCAACGGGCTGGCGGCAGCAGGCAGCCCTGTCTTCCTGTGTGCCCTGAGCCCGCTGGGGCAGCTGCTGCAGGACCGCTACGGCTGGCGGGGCGGCTTCCTCATCCTGGGCGGCCTGCTCCTCAACTGCTGCGTGTGCGCCGCACTCATGAGGCCCCTGGTGGCCGCGGCCCAGCCGGGCTCGGGGCCGCCGCGATCCTCCCGGCGCCTGCTAGACCTGAGCGTCTTCCGGGACCGCGGCTTCGTGCTGTACGCGGTGGCCGCCTCGGTCATGGTGCTGGGGCTCTTCATCCCACCCGTGTTCGTGGTGAGCTACGCCAAGGACCTGGGCGTGCCGGACACCAAGGCCGCCTTCCTGCTCACTGTCCTGGGCTTCATTGACATCTTCGCGCGGCCGGCTGCGGGCTTTGTGGCGGGGCTTGGGAAGGTGCGGCCCTACTCCGTCTACCTCTTCAGCTTCTCCATGTTCTTCAACGGCCTCGCGGACCTGGCGGGCTCCACGGCCGGCGACTACGGCGGCCTGGTGGTCTTCTGCATCTTCTTCGGCATCTCCTACGGCATGGTGGGGGCCCTGCAGTTCGAGGTGCTCATGGCCATAGTGGGCACGCACAAGTTCTCCAGCGCCATCGGCCTGGTGCTGCTGATGGAGGCGGTGGCCGTACTCATCGGGCCCCCATCAGGAGGTGAGCGCTGCGCCCCCAGGCAGTTCCCCACGTCTGCCCTTCCCATCAGATGCCCACTTTGCGAGGCAGGGATGCACACCCCTAGGCAGCTGTCGGCATTGTGGGACTCAGAGCTGAAGGGGGTGCACTGTGCTGAACCGACCCTGATTCTGCTGGGGCCAGTGGGTCTCCGTTAGGAGTGGGGGGCTCCGTCTGGCACAGTGCACCCCAGATAGACAAGGCAGCTAGGGGCTGGATCCGTGGGGTGGGCAGCTCCTCCAGGCTCTACATGGGCACCACGTGGCAGCTCCGGGCAACCCCACAGCCAGTTTTTGTATTTTGGGGCCTCCTTTTTGAAGGCTGAGTTAACACGTGAGGGAAATTAGGTTTGACTGGAGCAGCCTTGCCCAGGCTCTGGCTGCCTGGCGAGGGGGTCCTGGGCTTGGGGAGGGCCAAGGTCTCACCCCCAGACTCGTGTCTTGGAGTCCGCGGTGGCCAGGACACAGAGCTGGTGCCGGACTCAGCAGGGATTCTGGGGCTGCCCACTGGAAGCCTCAGGGGAACTCGGTGGGGACCAGCCTGACTCCTGCCACCAACCAAAGCCCAAACTCTCCGCAAAGCCACTGCTATTTTTAGCCTCTTAAGTCTTCGTTCCCCTGGGGAGGAGGGAGAAGAGGCTGAGGAGGGAGGATGCCCCCAGCTGGAACACATGGAGGGAGAGGACACCTCCCAGCCCCACCAACTCAGAGGCAGACAGGGCGACCCGTGTGTGCTGAGACGCAGAGTCACAGGCTTGGGGGAGCTCTGGGCCCTGGGGGCAGCCCACAGAAGCAGCTGGGACTAAAGGGGTCTTCCCACAGGTAAGCTCCTGGATGCGACCCACGTCTACAAGTACGTGTTCATCCTGGCGGGGGCCGAGGTGCTCACCTCCTCCCTGATTCTGCTGCTGGGCAACTTCTTCTGCATTAGGAAGAAGCCCAAGGAGCCACAGCCCGAGGTGGCGGCCGCGGAGGAGGAGAAGCTCCACAAACCTCCTGCAGACTCGGGGGTGGACTTGCGGGAGGTGGAGCATTTCCTGAAGGCTGAGCCTGAGAAAAACGGGGAGGTGATTCACACCCCGGAAACGAGTGTCTGAGTGGCTGGGCGGGGCCGGCAGGCACAGGGAGGAGGTACAGAAGCCGGCAACGCTTGCTATTTATTTTACAAACTGGACTGGCTCAGGCAGGGCCATGGCTGGGCTCCGGCTGCCGGCCCAGCGGATCGTCGCCTGATCAGTGTTTTGCGGGGGAAGGTGGCGGGGTGGGAACCATGTCATTCCAGAGTGGATCTGTGGTGAAACCAAGCCACAAGGTTATAAGGCATCCTCACCAGGGGCCCCGCCTGCTGGTCCCAAGCAGCCTGCGGCCACTGCTATGCTCAAGGACCTAGAAACCCGCACTGCAAGACAACGTGACTTTAATGGGAGGGTGGGCCGCGGACAGGCTGGCAGGGCAGGTGCTGCGTGGGGCCCTCTCCAGCCTGTCCTACCCTGGACTCTCACATGGGGCCTGTGCCCACCCCTCTAGTGTCTTGGGGACAGCTCCTTCCACTCCCGGAAGGTGGAAATAAACCTGGATGTGGGTGGAGCGTCAGGACAATGGTTTTCTAGGACTGTGTGGTTTTGCCATGTGGCCTAACTCTGTGTCCCACATCTCACATCTGCTGGTAGCCTGGCTGTTCCTACAGTCGCTCTGTCCTCACCAGCTTTCCCTGCAGCAGCACGGCATTCGTAGCAGGGGCAGGCACTGCGTGGAGGGGGCTGTGGGGCGGGTGCCTGGAGGTCGCTTGTGCCAGGGTGGTCTCTGAAACGTTCCCTGGGAGCCCCTAAGTGGTGGTTATATGGGAGCTGAGGTGGAACAGGCCACTTTATTCACTGCTCTGTTTAAGAGACAGGACTCTCCTGCCTTCCCTTCTTCGCCCCTCTGGGTGCACAGTGTGGCCGGCAGTGCGCACAGTGTGGCTGGTGCAGTGTGTACAGTGTGGCTGGTGCAGTGTGCACAGTGTGGCTGGCAGTGTGCACAGTGTGGCTGGTGCAGTGTGCAGTGTGGCTGGCAGTGTGCACAGTGTGGCCGGTGCAGTGTGCACAGTGTGGCCGGCAGTGTGCACAGTGTGGCTGGCAGTGTGCAGTGTGGCTGGCAGGGTGGCTGGCAGGGTGCACAGTGTGGCTGGCAAGGTGCAGTGTGGCTGGTGCAGTGTGCACAGTGTGGCTGGCAGTGTGCACAGTGTGGCCGGTGCCCAGGGCTGGTCTTTGTGCCCTGTCCTCCATCCAGCCCAGTCCAGCACTTGGGCTTGTCCTGGGCACCTAACACCCACCTGCCCTCGTGGCCAGCAGTGGCCTGCGTGGCTGGGAGCCCGGTCAGAGGCCGCCGGGGCCCTCAGTAGGTGCGTCGTGGGCGCTGGGGACGGCAGCGGGTGCCCTGGCGGGCTGCGTGCAGCCGGAGAGATGCCATGTCCCTGCTCCTCTGCAATGAAAAGCAAGCGAAAAGCGCACATCTCAGCTCCAGGTGCCCCCATCTGCCCCTGGCCTTGCCCCAGCTGGGCTGGAGCTCTCTCAGCCCAGGCTCCTGCCTGCAGCCGCAGGGCTGTGGAGGCCTCTAGCAGGGCTCAGGCTGGCAGGCAATGCCAGCAGCTGCAGGGATCAAGGTCCACCTCTGCACAGCCAGGCCCATGTGTCTCGACAGAGTCCACCAGCCCCACCCAGCAGCTGAAGGGAGAAGGACGAGGAAGTGGGAGCAGGCAAGGTGGTGGGAAGCAGGCAGCTTGGGCCTCAGAAGACACATGGCCTTCCCCGGCCGGCACCCCCACATCAGGGCCCCATGGGGGCTGCTCAGGCCCAGGGGTTGCCGCCTCTGGACCTGGCTGTGCCTGGTTCTGCTGGCCTCAGGAGTGACCTGGGCTTACAGAGGCACTGGTAGGGAGGTCATGGGCCGGGTGGGGGGTGCTCGCTCCTGGAACTCTCTGTTTCCAGGTATCTCAGGCCCTCACCCTCCCCTAGGCAGGAAGCAGGCCCCTCCAGCTCAACTGTCGCCCCTCATCTGCCCCACTCTGGTCCCCACACCCACAGCACACAGCAGAGGCCCAACACAAAGTGGCCAGGCAGTGCTGCTCCTAGACAGACACGCCTGAGAGGCCCTGCTCAGTGATTCAGGAGTGCTCCCGATGTGGGAAGGCAGCCATGCATGGCTGGGGGCACGGGACGTCTGGGGGCTGGGGTCCCTGTGCCGCGGAGTGGGTGTTGAGTTCTACCACCCCCTCCTTCAGCTGGTGTCTTTATAGGTGAGAAGCCATGGGGCAGCGGGTCTGCTCTGACACAACAGGCAGGAGTGAAGGGAAGGGAAGCCCTGCTGGAGGAAGCTGGGCGCAGAGATCTGGTGTGTGGGCTGCACAGAGCTAGCCCCCAACCCCGGTGACAGATTCTGGGGCCAAAAGTGGTTCAGGTCTACCATGTTGTGAAGACCCCCTGACCAGAGACACATCCATCCGGAACCCACTGCTACGTGGGGCGGGGCGGGGCGGGGGGCAGAGGGCACACAGACTTCTTCACACGATCCCACATCAGAGGGAGGAGGGAGGTGTTCACCTGGCCTGGGCTTTCCCAGAGAACAGCCCTGGAACAGATGTGTGCAGGGCCCGTGCTGGGGGAGGTGGTGGGGGAGGCGCAGGGAACCCAGAAAGGACCTGGTGGCTCCAGACGCTGCCATCCCTGGGCCTTCCAAGGGGTCTGTGGTGAAGCTCCCGGGAGGCGCTGCCCAGTACCTGGAAGGCCTGCTCTTCCCCTCTAAACCACGTCTGAGGACACAGACCCAGCCAGACTCAGGTACAGAGAACAAGCTCTCTAACCCTGTCCGCTCAGGCCCTCACAGGTGAGATGCAGAGCCGCCACCCAGCAGGCCCTGAGGACGTGCAGCCCCTGCTCCCTCTCAAGGCAGGGAACCCCAGGAGGGAGGCTGCGGGCCTGGGGAAGGTCAGGCAGGAACTGGAACTTGGGTCTTGCCATTTTCCGGTTGGGGCCGGTGAACAGGGCAGGGGCTGAGCCTCACCCACGGCCACAGTGAGGCCCCACACACCGTCTCGGTCTGGGGCAGCAAGAGGGAACCACGTGAGGCGGCCTGGAGACAGGGAAGGCCCTGGGAGACGGCAAAGTCTGCGCAGGAGGGGGGCTGGCAGAGCTCCAGGCCACAGGCCTCCCCAAGGTCAGGGCGGAGTGCGTCACAGGCAGAGTCGGCGGGACAGCCCCGGAACCCCCTCAGCACACACCCACGTGGGGCTCAGAAAGCTACACCATTCTTAGTTCGAGCCACCTCCACGCAAGTGACCCGAAGTCTTTATGCTTTCACCACAAACCAAAATACCCTCATCTTAGGCAGTGTGACCCTGCTGGCGTGGCTGTGGCCAAGGACCAAAGGAGTGGCCTGGAGTGGAGAGTGTGGGGTGGAGGTAGGGGCGGGAGGGGAGCTGGAGGGGAGGCGGCCTAGCCTGGCTGAGCTCACCCACACACGAGCACAGGTCAGGAGTAGGTGCGGACCTCCCTGCTCCGGCAGCCCGACAGCCCCCGAAGGCCTTGGATAGGGGCCACTGCTGTGTGCTCCGAGGCGGGCAGAGAGAAACCGCATCCTTGTTCCTGTGCAGGGCCATCGGGGCAGCTCCTGGGCTTCAACAGCTCAAGTGACAGGGGAAGCCCTGAACACTGCAGCCCTATGGCAGTGGGAATGGACACGCGCTCACCCCAGGCGGCTGGAGTGCCGCTGCCGGCGCCACCTCAGAGGGCAGGGGCTCTCCAGAACCATCACACAGAACATGAGTGGACTTGCGTGTGCACACCAGAGCCCAAGGGGGCAGCACGGCGAGGAGCAGTCACCACCCCTCCCTGCCCGGCAGGAGGCCCAGGGCACAGCTCTCCTCCTGCTCTGCCAGCTCCCAGACACCCACAGGCTGAGAAAGAACAAACAGTCGTCTCAAAAAAGTATTTTCACATAGTTCACCTCAATGCATCGAAAACTCTCCAGCTGATGAAATAAAGACCACATGGAAAGGGGAGGGAAGAAAGGTAGAAGTCATTATGAATTTATTATTTACACAATTGTTAAAGTACACAAATACAGTGGCGATACAAACGCACAGCTTGGAGACTGGCCGCCAGTGCACAGCTGACACAACGTCCTACCTACGTTTCCTGCACGGGGCGACGGGGACTAGATACTGGGCAAGGACTGTCACAAGCACACTCCGAAGACACAACCCGGCAAGGCTCAGGCTGGAACCCGGGCGCAGAGCTGCCTCGCACAAACGTTCTGGCGCTACATCAGGACCACGGGTATTTACAAAGCCAGCTTGCGCCACTTCAGGCCACAGCCGCAACGTCTCTCCGGGTCGGGGACGTCCACCTTCAGGAAGGCGTTCGGCAACAAAGAAAATCTCTAACTTGGCTCTGACCCACCCCGACCTCCCTCTGTACTTCGACACACAGCTCCCACCCGCTCAAGGCCCCACACTCCAAAATGCTTACACAGTAACCAGCCTACGATTCAGAAAGCACCCATGGGCTCAGCCAGCCAGCCAGCCAGCCGGGAGGGTGAACGACTGTGTTCCAGGACACCAGCCAGTTACGGTGTCCGGGCATCTCTGGGGAGGAGAGGGAAGAACCCAGGTGCACACCTTCAGGGTCCTAGAGTCCAAAGGGAACATTGTCCATCGTGATGGGGTCCAGGAGAAGTGCCCACAAACACAGACTGCACTGCGCATCGGGGGTGGGAGCACACGGCCACTGGCTACTGGCCAACTGCTGCGGAGTGAGAGGCGAGAAGGCATCCTGGGAACCTCAGGGCACAGCAGCGTGGAGCCTGGGGCAGCACCAGCTCACAGAGGCCGCCTGCCTTCTGGTGGGACTCGGCGCCACGCACGCTGCTTCACTTCTGACCAAGAGACACGCGCCCAACAGAAGGTCACAGAGCGCAGACCCTACTTCCTGGGCGTGAAGGTTCTGGGTCAGGTTGGGAGAGTCACCTGCTCCTTGGCACCTCGGGGTGGGTCCTTCTGGCCTGCCGGCTTTTCTGAGCTAGTCTTGGCACCTGGCAAGGACAGCCCTGCTCCTGGTTTTGAGCACGGGCATTCACACAGATCGACTGCCAATCTGCCCAGTCGTTCTGAGTGTTGAGAAAACGTACCGAGTGCAAAGGCAGCAAAGGCAACAAACACTGCAGTAACCACACACCTCTCGGTTCACAATCCTCTCCCAAGGGACCAGAAACACATCTTCCACCTTTAATCCTGGGACTCCCAATTGTCCTGCTAGGGTCTCAAAGCCTCTGCTTCCAGGTTCTCAGCTGCCTGCCCACCTCCTGGGGAAGAAGAGCACAGCGCTTTGCCTGGTAACACCCACCGCGCACCCCTGCTCCGCGGCAGCCTGCGGGTCCCTAACTGCTCTCCAAGGGCCTCAAGAGTTCCTGACAGCAGGCATTTCAATTACAGGAGGAGGGAGGGTGAGACACCAAAATCAGGTTGAAGAGGTCCCACCACACACGGGCACGCACACACACCACAGACTTCTGCTGAGAAATCTCCTTTCCAAAGTGGACAACAAAACACTGCAAAACAAACACAACACACAC